GAAAACAGGTGCTTGTGAGTCACACGAAGCTAAAAAAGGGGAGATTGAAAATGTAGCTGCGCTTGAAGTAGTTGCTGAACCAGATGAACTGAAGAATGGAATGGCATAGGCATGGAGTACATGACAAGCGAAGTATTTGGAATGAGGAGCTGGAGGAGTAGCAAGGTGTGTCTTGAGTCTGTCCTAAATCATGTTTGAAACTTGTAAGGTTTATCAACAGATGTACTAGCAATAAAGTTCAGTTAAAGGAAAAACTCTGTGATAAGTTGTGTTGTTGTTTTTGAACTAAGACTCTTGCGTTTACATAGAAAAGTGGAAGAAAATTTTCTAAACAAGTGGAAGACTCGTTCTTCTTATTTGAAGACTGAAACAATTGACTAATTCAAATAAACAAATAAAACCCAGAGAATGCATATTTTTGGCTTGGTCTGGTCTTCTTGACCAGTTTAATATCCTGCGTTCTGGTTCAGCTGATTGGACCAGTTCCATTCTCTCATCATTACTCCCTTTGCCCCGATAACCTTGTCCTCAAGGTTCCTAAGTAGGAAAACTCATGTGTAACTGCTGAAAATTTTCCCAAGTCGCCTCTGTCTTTGGTATTACACACCACTGAACTAGTGTTTCTGCCACTTTTTATTTAACGATCAACGTGTCTTAACTCCAACAAGTATTTTGGCTGCAGACACAAAAACTCATTGGCTCGCATTGGGGGTAGTGTTCCCGCCACCAACATATCTGAACCCACCTAACGCTTGAGAAACAATACATGAAAACAGAGTGTACATTTGTTCCTTCTGGTAAGGCCAAACGATAAGCAACAGAACCAACATGGGCTTCAATCTGAAAAGGCCCAGAATACATAGTTGACAGCTTTTGAGATGAATGTCAAAAAAATCATATGTTGACCATAAGGTTGAAGTTCGAGATAAACCCAATCGTCGACATTAAAAAGACGTCTCAACGTTTTGCATCCATGATCTGCTTCATGCTGCTTCATGTGATGATTAGCAGTATGTAAATGTTTCTTCAATTTTGTTAGGATCTCATCTCTCACCACCAACTGTTCATCGAGCTCAGATATGGTTGTTGTCCCTGCCTCATAAACATGTAACACAGGAGGAAGACAACCATAAAAAGCTTGAAACAGGGTCAGAGATGTGGAAGAATGATAGGTGGTGTTATACCAATATTCCGCCCACGATATTAATGAAACTACTCAATTCAAAACACCTAAGAAAATGCTTGATGCAACGGTTTACAATCTATATTTTCCCATCTGTTTGAGGATCATAAGCTGAGGACATCCTTAATTGTGTATCAGCTAACCGTCATAGCTCACGCCAAAATCCACTCACAAGCACATGACCTCGATCATTGAAAATTGATTTGTGGATGCCATGAAGCTTCACGATTTGTTCAACAAAGTTAGCCGCCACGGATCTTGCAGTGATACGGATAAGCCAGAGATGAATCGGCTTAGTAAGGCGATCGACTACGACCATGATGGATGTATGATTCCCAGAACAACGTAACTGATGCGAGCTAGAGTTGGTGTCGCAAAAGAAGTTTTAAATTTGTAAACCATAGTGTCTGCACATGCACAGCTATGTATTGTAGTATTTAGGGAGGTTTTTATTGTGTTTTGGTGTCATGATTTCTACTAAGCTAAACAGGAAATAAAACTAAAACACTAGATCAAAACAAAGATGAAAAATGTGCTGGATATAAGGGTTCATCTCTAGGGTTCCACTCTAGGGTTCATGATCTACAATACAAGGAAGCTAGGGAAGGATTTTCTATGATTCTGAAACTAGGATAGACACTTGTAAGATTAGCCAACTCTCATCATCCTAATCATCTAATCACTTATCCTTGGAAATTAACTCTCACTCTCATACCAGAATAAGATCATGTATTTTAGATTGGAATCCATCTTGGCTTATGTATCCTTCGTAGATAGCTTTCGTCTTCTACGACAGTGACATCCATAAGATCCAGTTCAGGCAACCCAGATACAACACTCTCGTGGCTCGGATTTAACCTAGGATTGGACATTGGTTAGCTACTCCAGTGTTACCGCATAGAGATTTGGATGAATGGAATAATCATTTAAAATCAAAATCCTTTAACCTAAAAACCTAGATGTCGTCGGTCATGGGGACCCTTTTGATGGTCCTCTTACCCAACAAGGTATCTACTCAGACATGGCTGAGCTTGAAAATATCATCATTGGTTTTGAAATAGAAAAGCAGTAAAGTAAATGAGATTGCATAAACTGAAGAAATGACAAAGGTTCAAGAGAAGAATCTTTATCTCCCAAAGAATTATGTCTTCAAGAGGAAAGGAGGACACACGAATTATGTCTTCTAAAATACATATTTATAGGTCTCCAAATCTTTCTGGTCGTCCTTAGGGTTTTCTTTGAAGAGAGAATGAGTTGGGCTTGAAAACAGGCCATTGGGCCAAAAATGGGCCTGTCGCAGAATGAAACCTCTCCATGTCTGGTAAATGTTGATTCACCGCAGTCACGAGCTTTTGGACCGTGGTGGTTAGCTTATGATGTCCAAACTTCATTCATTCTCTTGCTTCTTTCGCAAGACTGCAAAACATATCTTCAGTAAATTAGAGATAACTTATGATCCAACCGTTAGATTGCCCCAAATTCAATTGAATTAGAAATATGGTTCTCTCCTTTATCTTGTGTCCAAATTTGAGCGTGGTAAGAAAGTCTTTATAAAATGTGAAACTTCTGATGGTCCAAAATTGGCTAGAAGTGGATTTTTCTCCAATTTGCATTATTTTTACCTAAGTAACCTGAAAAGAGTCGTGAAACTAAAAATATAGCAAAACCATGATAAATAAACTTGAAAGAAATAAAAACCATTTAAAAAGCATTTAAAATTTATCTATAAAAATGGTCAAAATACGGTGTTATCAGTAACCTATCAACAAAGTCCATTAAGACGTCTTCCCACACTTGGCTTGGTACTTTGTTCTCTGATATATATCACAGGCTGCGACATAATCCTTGACAGACCTTACATTGAAGACCAATAAAAATGTGACGCTAACATTTTAAAGGTGCGAAGAATACCAGAGTTTCCTCCAATTGGTATGTTATGGTTATCATAGAGAAGGCTGGAAATGAGTGGATATTTTGGAGGAATCACCACTCGATTATTATAGCACAAAAGTCTATAAGGACGTCCAGGAGCCTCGTCGGCGAACTTTCCTAATTTCAGTAAATACGGATCAGTCTTCGCCAACTGTTTTAGCTCCTCTCAAAGCGATGCTTGCTGCATCACAATTGTATTAAGACAGGGGCTTTCCTTGCGCCTGGATAGAGTATCAGCTGCAAAATTTTCAATCCGGTCTTGTAGGTAATCTCATAATCATAGCCTACTAAATTTCCCATCCATTTTTGCTGTTCGGAAGAGAGGATGTGCTGCTCCAGCAAGAAACGCAAACTCTTTTGGTTGGTTTGTATGATAAAGTGCCTCCCGAGCAGGTACAGTCGCCACTGGCGAATATCAACAACAGTGGAAAACATCTCAGCATAGGACAACAGGTACAACCCGATTTCATTTTCTCGTAGAACTTAGTTCTCTATTGTGTTCATTGTAGCCTTGAACTTGCCTGGTTAATCATGAGTGAACTTGGAGAACATAGCCTGTTCTTCATTCTCCTAGAAATGAAGCCCTTGCCAGTAGGTGACTCATTTCACACTCACTAGGTGACTTGCCAGTAGACTTTGTTTTAAGAAGTGTTTTGAACACACCACTGATATATCAAAACTATGGTCTTATCTTTAAAATCTATGCTTAGCCTTGTTAATATACAATGAGCATTGTATGTAAGCACTGTTTATCATCTTGGGAATTAGGTCAAGACAATACGTTTTTCAGTGCGTTTAATTTTGTTTGACTTAGTTTTCCCTTTTGAACCATCTTTTTAAGTCATAGGCTTTAAACCCATTCTCTTTGATGATTTTAGAACTTGATCACGAGCTCGACCCTTAGTAAATGGATCTGCTAGGTTATCAGCTGATTTTATGTAATCTATTGAGATTACTTTAATTGTGATCAAGATTCTAATGGTTTTATGTCGTTTTCTTATATGACGCGATTTACCATTTTAGAAATTATTCAGTGCCTGGGCGATGGTTGATTGGCTATCACAGTATACACATATTGTCATGATTGGTTTCTCCCACATTGGAATATCTTCCAATAAATTTTGGAACCATTCAGCTTCCTATGCAGCTTTATCTAAAGCTATAGATTCAGACTCCATGGTTGATCTGGCTAGTAGAATTTGTTTGGAAGATTTCCATGATACTGCTGCACCTCCAAGGATAAATACATATCCACTTGTGGCTTTTTGAATTTCTGGTGTCAGATATCCAGTTTGAGTCACTGTATCCTTCCAAAATTGTTGGTTCTCTCCCATAGTGCAGCCCATAACTTTTAGTGTATCTAATGTAGTTTAGTACTCGAGTTATGGCTTTCCAGTGTTTGTGTCCTAGATTACTTGTGTAGTGACTAAGTACCGTGTGTGCTAAATCTGGTCTAGTACAGTTGGTTAAGTAAATAAAATGGACAAGTGCCCATAATGCTCCTCAATCTTGAATTTAATTCTATAATACTCCACATACTATTATTAATATATATATATATATTTTTTTTAATTTCAAAGTTTAAGGTAATGTATAAAAAACCAAAGAGATTTTTCGTAATTACAGATCCAACCACTAAATAGGTCGGGTACTTCGAAAATCCGATGGGTTTGGGTCGAATCTGTGAAATTTCTGTAATTAATTTTTTTTTTCTGTTTCTCTTTTTCAAATAAAAAAATTAAAAAAAAAACGAGAGAAGAGGGGAGAGGACGAACCCTAAATCGGAATCGGACATTTCGAGTTATCCCAATTGTCAGCCTTCAGAACTCGATTGGCGTCGAATCATCCCCTACATCACCAACCAACTCGATCGTCTTTTGTTGTGATGGCTCGGACGAGGACAACCTCCGCAAAACCTCCAACCTCCGCAAAACCTCCATGTTTGGGTAAAGGAGGTCCACCGACCCTAAGCGAATTACGCAAAATGGTGAGGAGGCGGCAAGAGAAAGTGAAAGCCGACAACGACACAAGTGATGACGATACAAATGTGGAGGTATGTTTCGTCCATATGGATTATTGTGTGTATTAAGTAAAACTGGACCAACTAAGTAAATCTGGAGCAACTAAACGAAATTGGTACAACTAATGTAGGTGAACATCGAGGAAAAAGAGAAGAAAGAGATTCCAAAAGACCAAGAGGAGGAGGAAGAAACGGACCACGAGAAGGATGAAGTAAAAGACCAAGAGGAGGAGAATCCGAAAGACCAAGAGGAGGAGGAAGAAAAGGAACAAGAGGACGAGGAATTTGAGGTATTAGAGGGTGAGGAAGAATCAGACCACGAGGAGGCGATATAAAAGGACCAAGAGGAGGAGAAAGAAAAGGAACAAGAGGAGGAGGAAGGTGAGGAACTTGAGGAGGAGGAAAATGAGGAACAAGAGGAGGAAGATGATGAGGAACATGAGGAGGCGGAAGATGATGATGAACAGGAGGCAGAAGACGATGATGAATAGGAGGCGGAAGAAGATGTAAACTATACCACCAGAGAAGTTGTGCTTTGAACCCGGTATGTTTAATATCAACATCAAGCTGTCAGGAAGATGCTATATTGAGAAGGTTGTGAAAACGTTAGAAAAGGTGCTAGATGCTAGAGAGTTGAGGTGGTTCAAAATGCACCCTTAGTTCAAGCACTTCTTCCACATGTACTTGGAAGAAAATCATAAATCATAGGGGATGTGGATGCTTATTCTGCGTATGGTGCCATTAAGCAAGATGAAGGAATGTGGTTTGTAGTAAATGGGGGTGCCCATCCGGTATTCTTTGAGAGAGTTAGGACTTATTTCTGGATTGAACTGTCAAAGCTACCCCGAGAACTACGAAAGGTAAGGTGGTGACAGTAGTAAGTTTGTTGAAAAGCATTTTGGTGAAGGGAAGAAGAAAGTAACATTGAAGGATGTAGATGAGAAGATGGAGTCAATGAAGTCAAGTAAAGTGAGAGGTAGGATGAATATTTCTGTCGTTTACTTCTTAGCCAACATAATTGTTAGGAAGACGAAGACAGGTAATAATGCTGCAGGTGTAGTGCCTTTCTTTTTGAGAGCGGCTAGTGATTTAGATTTGTGTGAAACATTTCTGTGGGGACGATTTTCATTTCATCAGAATATGAAGGACATTCGCATATAGTGAAGAATTTAAATGAGAATGTGTCTGAACGTGCAAACAAAGTGTTTCTTAGTTTCATTATTCCTATGGAGTTAAATAAGAATAACTGTCATAATGTGTTGTCTGATTCTTTGTATGTATGTTCCTTTTAAATTTGTTTAGTAATTCATGTTGTGTAATGTGTAGCTCCTAGCTTATGAGGCAATTCCAGCCCTTGGTAGACATTTTAGAGAAGCTGTTGTAGAAGCTGAGGATAGCTGTCCAAGGATGTGCAAGAGCAGGTTCAAGAAAGGAGATTTGAAAGGTTTTGCACTTTCGGAAATAAATTCGCAACTTGGTGCAACAAAGGTTAGAACTCAAATCTTAGCAAATAATTGAGGATATTCTCCATTGCTAGGATCAAAGTGTGTTGGCTCCATCGAATGATGAGAAGCAACTGCTGGCTCTCATCATGGATGATGATGAGAAGCAACTGCTGGCTCTCATCATGGATGATGACGATATAGACCAAGATGTAGCGGATTATGTTGTTGATGGTTGGAAATCGATTTTGTTGGAGGAGAAAAGTGAGATATTCTTTGAGGAAGTGTTCAAAAAGATGTCAATAGCCAAAAGAACAAAGGGAAAAAAGCATCGGGTCCTAAAACACCAGCTCGTAAAACCGCATCGACTCCTACAAATGAGGTAGAGAAACTGATTGCAGGCTTAGAGGGCTTGAAGAAATCAGTGGAAGATGGGTTTATGGAAATGAGAAATAAGTTAGATGATCATGACAAAAGAATCGAAAAGATGGAGCTGTATGTGGGTGAAGAGAAGAACAGAAATCAAGAAGACGAAGAGAATCGTCTTAACTTCTTTGATGCAGATTACCATGGCGATGGTGAGGAGGCAAATGATGGCGCTGGTTGTGCTGGGAAGAAGCAAACAGAAGGAGAGAATGTGGAAGAGAATGTGGAGAAGGATAAAGAACAGAATGAGGAAGGAGCTGATGTGGAGAAGGATAAAGAAGAGAACGAGGAAATAGACGGAGAAGTGCCAACCTGTGTAACCAGGACTAGTGGACGAAAAAGGAAAAAAATCACAATACAAACAAACCCCTTTTACAGAAGATAAGAAAGGGAAGAAAAGGTCAACGAAGGATGAAAAGAAGAAGGGAGCTCCCAAGAGAAATAAACAAAAGACTTAGAGTTTAGGGGCTGGTTTAGGATCTTGTTTAAGACTTTTGCTTGTATTATTTTGCTATTCTATTTTGCTTGGACCTTGTTTCCTTCCTAAGCGGTTGAATGAATCCCGATAGAAAAGATTTTTACGGTTTAGAACAAATTGGTGGCACAACTGGTAAAACTGGAAGTACTAATCGGCTAAATTCGTTTGAAGAACAAATTAGTTTGTTGGCACAACTGGTAAAACTGGAAGTACTAATCGGCTAAAAAGGGTTTAGAATAAGTCTGTTGGCACAACTGGTAAAACTGGAAGTACTAATCGGCTAATTTCGTTTGAAGAACAAATTTCTTTTGTTGGCACAACTGGTAAAATCATTTAAAAAGGGTTTACAACTCCTTTATTAATAATCAACTCCATTTAAAATAAAATAACATAAGATCCATTATTATTCTACAGCATTGTTTTTGAAGCAACTAAACATTTCTTAAAATCTAAACATTTCTTAAAATCTCCTTGAGTTTAGCAATTTCTTCAGCATTTTTTTCAGCTCCATCTGCATCTGTTTGACCTGAAATTCAAGGAGGGCCATTCTTCGAGTCTTCTTTCCATTAGTAGTAACATCCTTCTTGATCCTATCAATCTATTCTCCCACAGCATCTGCCCATACTTTGCGAACATGTAAGCCATCATTCTACACATAATGAAAAAAGTAAAACCGAAACAAAGATTTGGCAAACCAAAACCCAGAAACTGAAAAAGTTCAACCGAAATCGCAAAACAGACAGACCTTGAAGTTCTCACATTGAAAGTATCTCGTTTGAGAAGACCCATCGGTGACAACGATCTGTCCTTCACATGGACAACAATACGTCGGAATTCCATAGTCACCATCCGCTATGCAATACAGCATATCAATGTATTTCTTGTTTCTTTTGAACTTGCTGTAACTCTCGGGATCCATAACAAGAGTTTGGGAGGGGAGGATATATTTTCCTTGAGAGAGAAAGGTTTTTAGAGGACAGAAGTACAAGAGGACAGACGTACAAGAGGTTTTAAGTACCAAAAATAGGAAAAAGAATGAATTCTGAAATATTTCAAAATGGCGCCATTTCGAAATTTTTAAAATTTTGAAAATGGGGGGAAAACTATACATAGTTGTACCTCGTAGTTGTACAGTTTGTCACACTCTCCAACAGTTGTACTTTTGTCGAATTCTAGTTTTTTTGGTATTACCTATAATTAATAAAACATGTGTTGGTTGTACCGATCATAACTGCTAAATTAAAGAGATTACTAGCATATTAATGAAATAACATTTAGGATATGTTAAAGTTTGATGATATTGGTTTATATCAAGGCTATTTGTTTCAAAGTATCCAAAAAACCTATAATATTATATGAGATAAGTGTGCCCAAAACAGTTTTCATAATTTGTAAATTACAGAATACACATTGTTTTTAATACATATTATACATATATATATATATATATATTTAATTACATATACTCTGGAACTATATGTTATTTTTAAAACAACATGTCTTAACCCCGATTAAATATATAGACAATTTTACAAATAGTTGTTCCAAGTAGTTCCAGTAATACCAAAAAACTGAACATACAAGGTTTACGACAATAGCCGGGTAGTTGTTCCAAGTAGTTCTAGTAATACCAAAAAAAAAAAATTACAAATTACAAATAGCCGGGTAGTTGTTCCAAGTGGTTCCAGTAATACAAAAATTCAAAAATGTAAATTACACATTCTGGTTTGACTCTGCGTTTGTCCCGTCAGTCTCCGCGTTTGTCTCCGAACCTTGACTACAATGTAACCAAGTCCTTGCAAAATTTTGTCCTGGCATCCGTTTATTAACACAGCGGTGTTTTCCCGTGGATGTGAACCTCTTATCCCTCTTTCTTCCTTTCTTTCGCTTGGGAAAATCTGGTGGTTTTCAGAGAAAACCACATGTTTCAGCTGGAATTAACCACTGATATCTAGGCGGTACTGGATAGATCGTCCTCACGTATGCCAACTTCCACTGGCCAGTCCAATAATATCTAGAGCACAGATCATTGTAATGGAAATACCTAGATCCATCTTTTTGTTCGTTGCATTTTATAGCTGCAACTAACGCATGTACACAGGGGTACTTGTCTATGTCTTGCACTCACAAGTTTTCTGTAACAAGTGGACCACATAAGCATTTCCATCTTTTCCAGCAACTTTGTATATGAACTCGAAACTGTTTAGTTCCACAACAACTACTTTCTTGGCAACTAAACATCTCGAGTGCAATATATTCTCCACATAAGGCACTAATTTCTCTGTCACCTGACCAAATGCAGCCTCCTTCCTATGTGTGTTAAACCATTCACCAAATTTTGCTACAATCACATCGATCATGACGGTAACCTCCTAGCTTTCTTAAAAACATCATTTATCGACTCTACACTATTACTAGTGTCAATGTTGTATCTTTTACCGGGAAAATAATATCTTGCCCAGTATTTCACACTGTTGATGGTTTCTGTGCCATCTTCCTGCCCTTTTTCAAGATAAGTGACAGCAGTTGGGTACCTCTTTTTAAATTCATCATACTTTTGCAGGAACTCAACTTCTGTGTACACCCTTGCACACTCTCTGAATTTTTCAGCGGCCTCCTCTTTGTTCACATAATAAACATGAGATTTCACATTTTGCGACATATCATATATACAAAAGCCATGTTGAGCCCTCGGGTACACTTCACCAACCGCTTTAACTAAACTTTGATTACGGTCAGTTACAAAAACCAACTCACCATTATCTGGAAAAATGGTTTTCAACCTTTCGAAAAACCAATTCCAACTTGCATCTTTTTCACCATCAATAACACCAAATGCATAAGGGTAATGGTGATGATTAGGGTCTTGAGCTGTTGCAATAACTAAAACACCATTATAGCCAGCCTTCAGAAATGTTGTACCTACAATAATAACTTTCCTCATTCCTTTAAACCCTTCGATGCAAGGTCCAATGGCGACAAAAAAGTACTTGAACCTCTCTTCACCGTCTAAAAACAATTTCGTTTTTGTTCCAGGATTAGCCTGCTCCAGCATGTATAAGTAAGAAGGCAGCAACAAAAAACTCTCCTCTAGATCCCCAATCACTTCATTACGAGCTATATTTCTCCCTCTCCATGCAGTAGCATAAGACACTGACACACCGACCTCTGTTTGAAGTAAAGTCATAATTTCAGCTGGTGTTGTGGTCTGCAACTGACTTGCACACTTTTCCTTCACCAAAGATGCAACTAACCTTTTTGTGCCTCTTGTGCTAGCGTAGCCATTACGTGACACCCGAGAGCATGTATGCATTTTATTATATCTTGTAATTTTAAAAAATCCTGATTTTGCACTTTTCACAACTCGAATATGACAAGCACAACCTTCTTTTTCAGCAGCACATTTTACCACCCACCGCTTCTTATCCGATTTCTTAAGTGAGATCCCAAAAAATTTACTAAGTGAAGCTCTCCGAACTAAATCTATCACAGTTTTCTTGGATTCAAACTCTTATCTTAACTCCATACCTGTCTCATCTTCCCATGCTTCTATCGACTGACTTCCTTGAGAAGGACGTAATAACTCCTCAATTTCAACTATCACACCCCTATCTACCCCACCATCAAAACTGTTATCCATCCCGTCATCAGAACTATTCCCTCCATCGTCCTCACAACTATTTTCCCATCATCATCAGAATTGTTCTCCCCACCGTTATCACCATTGTTATCCACATGATGCATTATCAGAGCACGTGATGCATTATCATTTTCAACTATGATATCCTCAGTCGCCTCTTCTTCTAAAGCTTTATCTCTCTCATTTCTAATTTAAGTTTCGCCGTGTTTTCATCTACCCCAATCTTCTTGCATATCTTTTCCACTAACAATTTATTTGTTATCTCTTCTACAGATGTTGATCTGAATGTTATCAAGTACATCCAATGTTCTTTTGCTTTCCATCGGTAGTCATCATCGGTATATCCTCCAGTAGTAAAATTAATGATTATGGAACCCTTGCTCATTGAATCCTGCAATAAACAATTATAAAAAGATTCAGTAATACAAAGTTGTACCAGTTATACTACTAGTCTCAGTCACAGTATTTCTCAGTTGTACCAGTTATTCAATTATTCTCATTCTCAGTAATACCCAATTGTTACAGTAATTCGAGTGGTATCAGTATTAGCCAGTTGTTACAGTTATTCCATTAGTATCAGTAATACCCAGTTGTTACAGTTATTTCATCATTCTTAGTAATACATAATTTTAACAGTAATACCAAATCTGGAGGGGGTGGAATGTTCAATACCGTTGCAACAATCAAAACAAATCCTGAGACAATACAGTCTGTTTCGATATAATGCAATTCAACCAAACCTATATCCAAAACGACCCAGATAGTAGAGATGAATACAAGTTCAATAACAATGAACATAATTCGTTTTCATCCAGAATCAAAACCTGCATTTGTTCTTCCAAAAAAAAATTCCCAAAAAAAACCTGCATTCAAAGGATCTGTGTACATCTTGTCTTAAACTAATAACATATCTGACAATAAAGAATACTCAGCTTCAATGGTGGTTAGCGGAATCAGCTTCAAGCAATAGAGAGGGAATGGAGGGAGGAGATGTCGGGGAAGAAGAAGCTCAGCTGCGGGTTTTTTTTTTTCAGATTTCTCATTTTTTTTAGTCTCATTTGTTTTTTAATTTTGAATATTTAGAAACAAAAAATAATAATAATATAGAAAATCGATTTTATTAACGGTATAATGGAAAATTCCTACAAATGAGAGTATTTGAAATTTTTAAGAGTATGGCGGAATGATTTTTAAGAGCTTGGAGCTCTCTAGCACAGCGTCCAAATAAAATTACCCATTACCCGTACATACTCAACTTGTACCACTGTTTCACCTGAGTTTTTGGTCAAGTAAAGTTAAGAGTCAGCTGAAGTTTTTGCAGTCCCATTTGAATAGTTTTTAAACCATTCAAGTATCTTTTCAGCATAGTGAGCTTGAGACAAGGTAATTCCATCAGAGGTTCTTGTGATTTGTTTCCCGAGAATGGCATTTCTTAGACCATGTCTTTCATGTCAAACTGTCCACTAAGCATGTTTTTAGTTTGTTGGATTATGTCATTATTGCTGTCAATAATTAACATGTCATCTACATATAAACATAGTAGGATATAACCACTAGGAGTAGTTTGTATATAGATGCATTTATCACATTCGTTTATGCTGCAGCCATTTGACATCATTTCAGTGTCAAAATTTTCATGCCATTGTTTTGTAGCTTGTTCAGTCTATATAATGACTTCACAAATCTACAGACTTTGTGTTCTTATCCCGGGACTACAAATCTTTCGGGTTGTTTTATAGATAATTCATTTTCTAATTTACCATTTAGAAAGGCAGTTTCGACATCCATCTGATGAATTTCCAAATTTTGTTAAGGCTGCAATCCCAGTCAGCATTCTGATCGAGGTTATTCATGTTACTGGAGAATAAGTGTCAAAGAAATTCAGACCTTTTTGTCAGAATCCTTGAACTACAAGTCTAGCCTTATATTTATCAACTGAGTCATTGGTCTTCATTTTTTTTTTGAAGATCCATTTACACCCTAGTGCTTTAAACCCTTCGGGTTGCTCAGTGATTTCATATGTAAGATTTTGTCTAGTGGAGTTCATCTCACTATTGACCGCTTCCTCACAAAGAGGTGCGTCTGGAGTAGACATAGCTTCATTAAACATTCTTGGTTCGTTCTTGGTGAGAAAGACCATCATGAAATCAGGACCGAAGGATTTTTTTTTACGCGCTCTTATGCTCCGTTTAGGTTCAATCTCTTCGTCTGCTTAAGAAATTGGAATCCCAGATATGCTTGTCTCATCTTCTCGAGGGCGTTTTGGATTTTATCTATCCTTTTACGGGAAAATGTGTTCGAGGAAAGAAATATTCTTGATTCCATTATTGTATTCATTTGAAAATCGGTTCATCTGATTTGTGAACCAAAACTGATAGGCACTACCTGTGTGCATATCCAATAAAAATACAATCAATGGTTTTAGATCCTATGGTAACCTTTTTAGGAGGTGTACAGCGACAATTGCTAAGCAGCCTCACACTTTCAGGTATTTGTATGAAGATACTCTATCTGTCCATAATTCATATGGCGTTTTGCCAGTTACTTTTGCGATATTTTGTTGATGATATAGTTTGTAGTGAGAATTGTTCTCCCCCATCCCCCCCACCCCACAGATTTCTGGGGTTGACGAACATAACTTTCCAAATTGCATTCATCATTTCTTGAAAAAGTTTTGGTTAATGGATTCTATTGGGGTAGGGGACCCGTCGGTTTGTAGGTATTATGCATTCCACCCAGCGACCAAACAACAAAAAGGAACTATCACTCCTTCTTCTCATGATTTTAAGCTATCAAAAAGTTATGTTGCTTGCTCTACAACTTTAATTTTTATATATCGGTTTTATAAAAAGTAATAACCCATAATATAGGGGCAATAATGTTATATTAAATTTTGCATTCAACTTTCATTTATTACAAAAAGTCAAAAAAAAAAATTTCTATAATTTAAATGAAAAATGTTTGTTTTAACTGTAATCTGCTTTTGTTTGTTTTAATTTTCTCTCTTTATTTATTCTTCATAAATATATCTTTTCGGAGAGAAAATTTTTCACTGTTCGTTGTCAGATTTAATTACCGATAATCTTCAAAAATTCATCTAGTTTTCCAATTTGCGATGGATTAATTTCCTCGTCAATTCCAAGTACTCAATCATGGATCAACTGAATATATGCCTAATCGATCGATTAGGTTAAGTCGATGATGGAACTTCCCCGGTATTGGTTAATTTCAACAAAGCTTAAAAGCAGAGAAAATTAGTGTTGGCGGTTGCTGGTCTGGCGTCTTGTTAGAGAAAAAGGTTGAAACAATATTTGGAGAGGCGAGGCCACCTTCTGTGTGTAAGAATTGCAAAGACAGAGGATGGTGATTATCAGGAAGGTCGATCTTGCAGAGTTTACTCCGGTAGGGAATTCGTTGATGGTGACATCTTTCATCAACAAACAGTCGAGGGCTTCACACGAATTTGAACAGTGTCAAACATCCGACAATCTCTATCTTTAGTTAGGCCTTATTGTAAAACAAAATAGTTGATGGACTCCGAATATTGTAATGCTTTACCCATTTAATATAACAATTTTTTTAATTATTAAATCTAATTATCACTTATCTTTTTAGTTACACTAAATTTCTTTTTATTTAATTTAAATTATACTAAATATATTAATAATAAATGTGAATATACATGTATTAAATGCATATTTTAAATATGTTTTAAAGTTAAAATTTATGGGTTTACTAATGTGGATATCCTAGATGAAGAGAAAACTCTCCTATTATATAAGAGATTAAGCTTTCAGTTTATTAAATTCACCTCTTTAACTTTCTTCTTCTTCTTCATCGTTGAAGTTTTGAAGACTTGCATTTTTTTTCTACCAAAACTACGTAATCAATTGATATTTGCTAATTTTTCAATTGTAAATTTATTTCATCTAATGTTAGATTTAACTTTATTTCTGATTTAGAGTAATTTACAAAAAAAAAATCAAATAAGTGGCAAATTTATCAGCTTTAAGGAAGTAAGATTTGAAAATTTAGATATGTATTGTAGTCTTATGAATTTGGAGATGATCAAGTTAGTTTTGGTCAAACTTGATAGAATCTTATTTTCATTCGAGTATGTAACTAGAGATACTGAGTGGCTTGAATATGTAGACTATCGAAAAAATCCGTTTAAAAGTTTGGTTAGTGGTGTTTCAAAAAATAAGTTTAGTTCGCAATAAGGAAGAAATTTATATTTAGAATGAAAATTTTGTTATTTACTTTTACTTTATTTATTTGGGATAATATTTGTTATTAATGGTTTTGTACGAAAATAGAACTATGATGTTATTAATTTTCTATGAATTGAAGTCTTTTTCGTTTTATTACCACATATGAGCTCCATATCATTAAGCAAAGCTCTGTCTGTGGTGTTGATAGGTTTAGAAGTGGTATGGTTTCTGGACAGAGAAGATGCTTTCTGTAAATAAATACAATGATAAACGACGTGATTTACTATGAAAATATTTATTTCCATCTTTTGCGTGTTTACTTTCTTTCTACCACTTTTGGTTGTAGATGGTATATTATTTTTTATCTAATTATATGTTTCTAATCCCAAAGATGTTAATAGCCTAATCAGGTTCACCAAATTTGTTTCATGTAGTAATCATTACCATCTCCATTTGTCTCAT